GCGATATTAGCATTAACATGCCTAGTGATAGCAAACACATGCCTCGCTGGGCGATCTTATCTCGCCGTCTGCTTACATTCGGTGGTAGACCGGATGAATTTGGCTACTTTTATAAATTTCGTTAACTATTTCAAAAATTGCAAAACAGTATAGAACTTTTCGACTCAGTTTAGTTCGCTCTAGCAACATAAAAGTGCTTTGCCAAAAATGGTGGGACACCATGTATAAATATAAGTTTTTAACGACAATATGTTGGCACTGTCACTTTAGGACGTTTTTTGGATTCCATTTCCGAAAAGAATTCTTTAATATCTTCTTCACGTACAACTTTCTTGTTTTCAGCAAACTTCTGTAGGTATTGCATTAGCCGTTCTTTCATATTGTTATATTCTGTGAACAATTATAAACAGCTTAAACGTTAGTAAAGTAATACACATTTTCTGAAAAATTTAATTGAAAACATATCTCATAGAATATTTTTAATCTCAGAGTTTTACCTTCAATCGCTGTCAGCTTTTGTACATGCCCCATGCTGGCAAGAGCTTTCATGCCTTTTTCGTATTGAGATTCCTGCTTATTCATTTTTCCTGCTTCCTCATATGCTTGTACACTGTCTTTTGGGTCAAGTAAAAATGCAATGCCTTTCGCATTATATAACTGCAATAACGATAAAAAATATAATAAAAGATTGTCACAAAAGAACGCACAAATCTGTTAACAAATGTAATATGTCAATAATAACAAAAGTATACTAAAAAATTCAATATCTCACCAATTTGCATTCGTCGCAAGTGCACAGTGTAGTTCTCCAACCTTCTATCCAAAAACAGCTTCCTTTAGTATCTGCACAACTAAATTTTGGCATTTGACATCCTTTGGACAACTCACTGATGTTTATTTCTTCATTTTTTTCAGATACATCCAATTTCACATCTGCTTTCTTTAGGACTACTTGTAGCAAAATAACATATTCATAAGCTTATAATTAAATACATTAAAAATAATAATTTACAATTCAGTTTGTGTAGGTATCACAAGAGTCCAAGTAACCTGCATATTTCGTTGCATATTTCCACAGAAAGTTGTTTTTCTTCATACAGCCTGCACATATCATTTCATCATAAGCATTATCTGCTGGTGTACTGTTGTTACATTCCAAATGCTAAGAAAAAATCCTTTTTAGTCCTTTAAAGTTTATCTTCATTAAAGACACATACATTACAGACATATGTATATACATAGAATAAATCTTAAGTGAATCTTTTAGAAGTTAATCAAATCAACAACATTTTACTTTTGTTTTTATTATTTTTTTTTTATCTTTTATCTTGTGGATACTCTAACTTTGACTTTTCTAAAGTTTATATATATATATATATCAATTCTTTAGATAATTAATATAAGTACAAAAGATGTTAATACAAATATAAGTTACATATGGATTATTTTGTAATTTACCTTCAAATGATACCAATCCTCACATATTATACATTGTAGCATGTCATCTTCATCACCTTCTGGATCAGGATATGGTCTTGCGCAGATGCAATAAACACCGTCAAAATTCTGATTGTATTTATTTTCAGTATTGATAGCAGATTTTAGCTAGAAAGCACAACAAACATTGGTCAATCAGCTCAACATAATTTTATGTAAAACGTACAAAAGTATGTAAGTAAAAGAGTCATTACTTTCTCTAGATTACATTGTTTGCCATCAAACTTAGTATTTCCACAGTCACATCTGAAGTGTCGCTTTGTATACAGTTCTATAAGTTCATGGCCTTCATGACAGTGAAAGCTACATGCCAAACAGACGGCAGCTCGAATTTTATCTAAGCAACATGTTTTACATGCGTACAACGCCTGTCTTATATATCCCTATAAACAGTTGTAAATAAACAAACTAATTAGTTAAATGGAGAACAAAATTGTAAAGCGCAATATTATCACAGATAAAAGATCAAAAGCATTGCTACCTTACTGTAAGTACAATTCTGGTCGTCGGATGCGCCTAGAACGGCATATGCATCCTCTTCGAGCTGATTTTCTACCTGGAGAACATCGAGCATTGTGACGGAACTGTCGTCCTCCACAGATTCGGCTAACTGGTCAGACATATTTCCGATTTCGTTGTAATTAATGAAAAAATGCGACGAAAGGGTCTGTCTACCGCGGAGTCGTAAGGTGAAGAGATTTGAAGTCGGGATCTTCGCGAGCGTCGAAACAATCCGTTCAAAACATGGATGGTTAGAGTGAATTGCGAGCGTCGAACGATTCACGAACTGGCAGCGATGCATTCGATGTGTCGCATCTTATCGACCTTTCACTCAATTTTTTTTCGTTCAATGAAGTCCGATCCTCCTCATAACGAAGGAATCGCACACCTTCTCACCCCTGCATCAAAATCTTAAATGTAAGCACCGATGGGCCAACGGGCAACGAATATCTTGTCGATGATATATATCATAGTATATACAAATAGCACAACTCTCTGGGTTCCGATATTCACTGCCAGTACTGAAACTATACAATATATGTTACGTGTACTATAGATTTTCAGTAGTGAATATCAAAACGTGCTCTCTGTAGGCACCTTCGACGTCAAGATATCTTTACATGGCAGCGTCAAGCGTCAAAGATCAAAGCATACGCAATTGCGCAGTAATAACTGTGTTCCAAAATTCACAGTACTGAAAATGTATAATAGACATAACGTAAATTATAGATTTTCAGCGATGGCAATGAATTTTGGAAGTCTATATGTTTAATATAAGAATGCTGTCCCATGACGCGTATTGCCAATCATACTCATTTTCTTAGATCTACTTGCAAAAATTTGCAAACAAATCTAAGAGAATGATTCTGTGATTGGCGATACACAAATACGCTTACGCGCGACCGCTGCATAAGGCTTTAGGTTTGTTTGCGGTACATGCACCAATATACCCAACGAGCTTCAATATGTTCGTTGTACCAGAACAATATGGCGACTAGATGTTCGCGTCATGTTAAGCCTTAAACACTATGGGTACTTCCTATTTGATAACACAAATCGACATTAGTCGATTCGAATGTACATGACCGGACAAAACCTGCGATTGTAAAAATTATTATTTTAAATCATTTGTATTTCGTATAAAGAGTTTTGAAGTGCAATTGAAAAAGTTTGTGAGTCAAGGTGTGATTCCATGTAGCGCAATACGTGGTACACAGAAACTAATTAGATAATTATAGGAATCGCGCAAATCATGTCGCTTGCTTCTTTTCCCTTCTATTACATGTAGCGCAGTAAGCGGCACGGGTTAGTGATAAATAAACTTTAATATGAATTTTTTAAATATATTAACTTATTTTTATGCACATTTCATTAATTATATTTTTTCAACAAATTTACTTAATAATTGCATTTAAATCAATTAATTCTATTAAAAAGTGGTTAGTGATGTGAATTTGTCACTGGGGCTCGTGCCGCTTACCGCACTAAATGTAAGGATGCCGTCTCATAACGCATATTGCCGTACGCGTGTATTCGCGCATCGAAGGATCTGACCAATCACTAACGATCCGCGGTTTTACACAATTGTGTCCTTAATGTTCCATGGCGCGATTCGTGCCCCAGCAAACGAGAATGGATTAAAATGGATTTAGATTTTCAGAAATACGGATTTATAAATGTTATAATAAATCCTTTTCAATCCTAATGCATTTTTAGGAATTCATTTATAGGAATTGCATAGAGCATATTTCTATACCTTTCCATCTAAAAATAATATTAGCATTTTCTGTGCATCATGA